CTTGCCATTGAACCCACCCATGCTATCCGTACATTTCGAAGGAAGGTATTTTCATTCCAATTTTGCAAGCTGAATGTTGTCAAAAGTAAATTTATGAAAAAATTGGAAACATGTAACTGGATGAGACTATCTTGTATAATTATGGTTGGAATGTTCGTAACTAAAACAGCTTTAGAAACACATTGCACTCAGTGTCATTGTAAACTTTTCACATTTTTTGTTGTAAGGGCACAGGGAAAATTTAGTGATCGTTTTCCATCATTAAACAATTTTTTATTTGCCCCAAGATTTTATTTGCCCCTGAGGCGCAATTTTAATGACTATAATGATTTCGTCCATAAAACAGCAATTAAATCGAATCGAAGTCTGTCACACCTATCAGTTGAAATTTATAAAAAACCAGTAAGGAAAGTAGTAGAAAGTAGGCCGATTATATGATACCCTTCACCACTGTGGGTATATTCAACAGATGCATCCTAACAGACGTCGAATTTTTGAAGGACCAGTAAAATGAAATTGGATCCATAAACATGTTATTCTGCAACATATACTAAATTTTTTACTTGCTCAGATACAGGGTTGCTTCAAGCTAGGTTATATTATATTCAATACGTTGTGCCAATTTTTTGTCAATCGACCTAACTTTGGGTTTTTGGTGAACCATTTATCTATCGGACGAAAATATATATGGGAGCTATATCTAAATCTGAAACGATTTACACAAAAGTTAACACACGTCGTTCTGGACCTTATTCAGTACGCTGTGCCAAATTACGTGCAAATTTACCATTTACCTTAAATCGGACGAAGCTATATATGGGAGTTATATCTAAATCTGGACCGATTTTCACGAAACGTAGCACACATCATTCGGGACCCAATTTAGTACCCTATGCCAAATTTCGTGCAAATCGAAATATATATAGGGACTTTGGAGACCGATTTACCTTAAATCGGACGAAAAATATATATGGGAGCTATATCTAAATCTGAACCGATTTTTCCCAATTTCAATAGGGTTCGTCCTTGGGCCAAATAAGTGACTTGTGCCAAATTTCATCCAAATCGGATCATAAATGCGACCTGTACTTTGTTTACAATTTAACATCTACAGACGGACGGACGGACATGCATAAATCGACTCAGAAAGTGATTCTATGCATATTCTCAAAAGGAACCATGTGTCTATCTCGTTTCCTTTTGCCTGTTACAAACATATGCACAAAGACATAATACCCTGTACCACAGTGTGGTGAAGGGTATAAAAATATTATAAGGCTTGAAAGCAAAAAGTTCAAAGGTGCCCCCACTCCCCTACTATACTTGTTCTCAAACAATTTCAAAAATCGAATGTTTCCGATGTTTAGTGCATCGAGCTACATGATGGAAGTTGCAATGGAAAGGAAAACTAGAGAGATATTACATACCCCCATTATGTGTTATATTGTAGGAACACATTAAGTGAAATTAGAAAAGCCATGTATTGTTTGTTGCATACTTTTAGGAATCAAAAATAAGTAGGAAAATGAAGGCCTCACCCACCAAATTATTTATGTGCAGCTTTATTTAACATAAGGCTAGTAAATACATAGATAGAATATATATTAAATTAATATATTAAAAACTTACGATTTGCATTTCCCTTTCAAATGAGTCAGTGCAACACAAATATATTTGCTAAATAACAAGACATTTTTATTTTCGAATTTATTTCATCTTAAAATTGATTCATAATCCATTACTCTTTTTAAGACATAATTATACAATTTAGGGTTTCCAAACTATGATCTGATTGCAAAGTTTCATTTTGTTGTTGTTTTTAATTCTTATTGCAAGTTTTTATTTAAAGAATTTGGTGTGTTGTTTTTTTTTTCAAAACCGGCTTTCCATTGCCAACAATGCCAATAAATAAGCTTAAAAATTAATAAATATACTTTAATTTTGCATAATTAAATAGAGATTAGTAAATATTCGCATTTTTATGTAAGTTTTGTCAGGTTTTACTTTTTTTGTTTTTATAAGTAATATCATATCAAGAAAATATATATTTAATACGTTATGGATATTTTATATGGGTTTTGTTTTTGTTTTATTTTCTTGTTGTAAATACGCATATTTTAGAAATATAGTTCGTTTTTGGTATTGGTTTTTAATCATTTATTTATTTTTTGTTTCAAAAAATCACATCAAAATTACGTTTTGTTTATTTTAACATTATTTTTTTATTTATTTGTTACTCTTTTTTAAAATTGATCTCTCGTTTAGTGAGTTTTTCTTGGTGGCTTCCAAAAATATTGTAATTTATTTTTATATAATCTACTGTTGTTTTTGTTCTCTTCGAAATTAGTTTGTTATGAATTGTACTATTTTTACCATGTTTTATTCAGGTAATGGTGGGACAAGACTATGTACGTTGTTTTTTTTTAATAGTACAGGTAGGTATTTATGATTTGGGAGTTTTGTTATTTGTATTATGTACATTATGTACATATTATATTTGCACAACAATATATAGCATATATTAAAAGATGCCCGTTATATGAGATTAATTGTATCCAGTAATAATGCAATAGGCGATGTATACGAAAAAACTGAAACACTTGAAGAATTAATAATATCAATAATATTGAAAACATTTGGCGATGTGTCTTTGTTAACATTTTAAAATGCTCAGAACGATAAAAAGGATAATATACATATATCGGAAACAAAATTGGATCTTTATATATTGTTGGTATTTAACATTTCTCGATGAAAAAATGTTCTTTGAAAAAAATATTCATTGAAAATTTTGTCACTGAACATGTATATTTTTTTTTGATGCTTCTAAAAATTTTTTGAAAGAACGCAGACACATTTAAAACAAATGCATAACTCGTGAAGGTTTTATCTGATAAAGATTTTACATTTAGTTCCTAACAAAATATAATGTTCTGGAAGAGGGCAATAATGAGAACGAAGCAATATACCGATGTGATGCCAACTGCCATAAATTATATCTGAAATTTCCTATACCAATTTTATTGATTATTTGATAAATTCAAATTGATGAATATAATTAATTTCATTATTCTAAAAATAAAACCATTACCTAATAACGAAAAAGCATTTAATTTAATTTACCTACCAATCATTAATATAAACAGAATCAATTCGAAAATTTTGAAAAGTGTACCAAGTTAATTGTTATGTTTCAAATAACATAAATTATAATATTTAATACTATTTTAGTTCGCCCCCCAGAAACTGTAATATACATTTTAGCCATTTCACGTTTTCATTATTTTAAGATGCCAACAGAAAATGATTCAGAACTAACAACAAATATTGTTTTAATCAATTTTGTAAGGTTTCACATGTCTTAAAGTTTCGATCCAATATATTATTGAACTTAATTTGAATAATATAAACAACTAGATGTTTTGTATACATTGCGCAGCGAATCGGACTACTGGCCAAAGTTAATTTTAATTTACAATAATATTGATAATCAATAACAACAATTTCATAATTTACAGGCAAGGGTAGCATTACAATCTATGCAAGTCTACGATTAATAGGATGCGTATATAATTTAATCTGACTGGTGTATTTGTGTGTGTGTGTGGGTCTAAGGAACAGACGACTAAAACTAAAGCATTCACACGCTTAATTGATTTGCCGAATTAATACTTGATTCATTTGTAGTTGGTGGTTGTAATTCGTGTATGATTGAACTTTTCCGATGTATGTAAATAAATAACATTATCTATATATATATATATATATATAGGATTTATTATTATGTAAAATTATAAATATATATTATTAATAAAATATCATGGAGCAGGAAATCATACAACCGTACATCAACATAATATCCGTTCTAATGTACGGTTATGTCTTTCGCAGTAGTAAATAGTGCACTGCAATATTGCCGCTATAATTATGCTAAACACATAAATATACATTTGCCAATCATGCATTATCACTGCATTGTTGATGGATGCTTCCAACAGAGGTTCCCCTCAAACATAACATTGAGTTCCAGTTGAAACGTATATTTCATTGCCTTTGCCATTGCAGTCGTGATTACATATTTAATTATACATGTATATTTGAGTTTATCTATGATATATGTGTATGTATGTATGCTATTCTTGGAGGATTTATGTAGTTTGTAATACCATCATACAACAGGAGGATACAGTCTTTCTAGCCAGGTACCTGCAGGAACAAAACGTATGTTAATTAAAATCTCAACTCAAACATCACGTTAGTATATAAATTAAAATGGTTTGTATTTGTGTTGTAGTCACCGCGAATATTTACAAAAATTGAACTTTAATATTTAGCTTCTGGAAATTTAATTTATAATAAAAGATTTGGCAATTTATTATTTTAATTTTTGGTGTCCGTTTGTTTTTGTCGTTGATAGCAGTACATAGTAAATATATTTACTAATATGCTATGCTATGCGGCCATATGCTATCGTTGACAATTGTTGCATGAGGTTTTAGTATTGAAAATGTGACAAAACATCGGACTATGCAACATAAGACGATTGTATGTTATATAAGAGTATATGTATTTTTTTACTTACTGCGTGACTTATATTAGACGTCTTTTGGTTTGTTTGTTTGTTTGTTTGTTTGTTTTAGTTTAAAATCTAATTTTGAGTAATGATTGATATATATTTAATAGTTCGAACGCACTGACGCTCTTCTAAGTCCTCAGCTATTATTTTTTGCTTAAGCGCTTTCATATATATGGTTATTCTGCTGGTAGGTGGAGATGGTGCGTTAATCATTTCTGTTTGCTTTGGCAAATTACACTGGTCTATTGTTTGGGGTAGGCATAATAAGATATTCATTTAGATATATGTTGTATGTTTGTGTATGTTATTCAATATGGAGACGGACGTCACTATAGAACATCTAAATAGGTTGTCTGCTTTGCATTGTTTGCAGATTTTTGCGTTTTTGATGAGGTGTTAACGAGTATGGTGATTGGAATAACTGCTAATTGAATGGATTGGTGGTGCCACTGATAGCTCCTGGCAGTTCAACACACGCTGTGCAATGCTGCAGACAATGCCGAGAGGTTTAGTTTTGATGGCCAAAATAGGTTTTACGTTTCAAATAGCCACTGCGTATTGGCGAAGACAGACCGGTCTCGTTGCTGTTAGATTGGATACCGGAGTGGGCGGTTGGTAGATGGGTTGCGAGAATCAATCGATCGTTCAATGATGACGTTGGTGGGTTGTGGTGGGGGAGTATAGATACAATACAAATTAAATAATTATAAATTCTCGGAATATCAACTGTTTGGTAAGGTGAAATGCAAGGATTTCTCTACAAGGTTGTAACACGACATTCATTACATATAGGTACTAATTCATCATAACTGTTTCTTTTGTTTTTTCTTTTTTTGTTTGTTTTGTTACTGTGATTGTTCGTTTGCTGTGTTCGCGGTACGGTGGTCCAACAACGACAACAACAACGTCAGTGTCCTTGTTTGTTCGTTACAGCACCATAAGTGGCAGATTTAAGCGTCCTGTTGCTCATGCAGCCTAATATAAACAAAAGACGGGATGTGGGGATGGATGTGTGACAATAGGTTTGGGGTTCGACATTAGTGTTAGTGGGGAGGATGTGAAGGCAGTGTTGCGCGGTGATGGAATCAAAAAAGGCCAAAAGATGTACAGGTGATGAATGGAAAACGAACACGGAAAATGAAAATAAAGAAAAGAAGAACAAAAAGAATGATAAATAAAGAAATAAATTAAAAACACATCTTTATTATTTTGTTTAGTTTAGTTTAATGCATTCAAGTACATTATAGCTTTTTATATAAGGTTGGTTAGTTTGGACAACACAAATCGATTGATTAACGGAAAAAAGGTTTCAACAAAATCAAACAACACAACCGGGGCCGGTCGCACTCATTTCCCCCTCTTAGATTATGTAATCTTCCTCATAGATTTGTATATGGTTGGCTGTGTTAGTAGGATCGAATGCGTTGCTATGTCCGGAAATAATAAGAAATAATCAAACAATAAAAATCAAAATTTTGTTAAAGGGTTTTAGTGGTTAAAACAAGAAGAAGAAAAAACGAAAACAATCGTCAAAGAAACTAAAATGCAAATAATTCTAAAATAATTGCGCCAATGTTAAAAAGAACAATACAATGCAACAAAAAAATACGAACTACGAAATATACACACTATATTTACATACATATGATTCTCAAGCAAAGGGGTACAAGGTTCCCTATATCTTATATATTGGGGGTGTGGCAACAATGGTATAAATCCAAAGGAACTACTATTATTTGATATGGTAGGTAAACGATAATAACTATGTTAGATTAATAAATTAGAATAGTCTTAGATACCTTTGTCCTGAACTCGAAAGAATATCTTAAACTCAGAAGTTTGCAATATCTTGTAGGATTACAATGTGAATCGTGTTTTAAATTTCAGTGATAACATTTGACAAGGAAGTGCTCAGTAATATATAGTTCCTATGGACTTAACATATACAAATTTGTGATTGGTGAATGCGTACAATCAAGCATACATACATATACAACAAGTTTGGACCAATCCAATACTTAGGTGATCTACGATACCAACTGGTAAAATTGTAGCAAATTAACAAACTTACCTTCTACGTCGGGGATTTGCGGTTTGTCCTGGCAAATTAAAACAGCCGCGCGGTATAACCATACGGGCATTACCCTTGGCAGGTCGAGACCCGCCAACAGCTTGCAACGCGGCCAAATGGGCTGCATATCCATCATTCAGGACGGTGGCATTAGTTTGCAGTTTCTTGCTTACCTAAATTGGAATTATTGAATACCTTTATAGTATAGTCTTCGATTCGATTTATATTACCTTGCCCACAATGAATATTTGATCCATTCGTAAGCCAACATTGGTGTAAACACTAATATCCTTACTGCTACCATAAGCTGCCATTATAGAGATTCCATGATTTTGAACTAAATTATTTAAATAAGCAGTTTTATAGCCGAGGGGGTCCGTGGTAAGGCCATCGGCAAATGATATCAAACCATGTGGAAAATTGTGTTGGCTAAGCCAAGAAACGACCCGTTGTTGCTGCATATCCGGTCGTCCAGTCATGTAAATTAACAAGTAGCCATGTTCCTGCCAGTGGCGACATACATCGACCGCGCCAGCTCGTACCTTTGGGTCTCTCCCGGTGACGGAGACGGAGGCAGTAAATGAACCGTCTATACTGAATACCACACATTCGGTTAAAGGCGGTACTACTGCTAAATAACAATCCACCGATGTGTGATCGCCTCTAACCACCATCTTTACGGGATAAATGCCATAACCGCGTATGACGTCATCGGGTATTGTGTAGGAGATGCGTCCAGTCTTATCGGTGACTTCGGTACTAAGATAAGTCCACTCGCCAGCAGGTGGATCTTTCATAATGTGTACATCGACCTTTTCGCCGTGCAATGTGATCATATCCAAGGGTCCATACATGAAACGAGCATTGATGCGTTTTTCACGTCCATCCAATACAATAACATCATTAGCCCGGTGATTAGCAGCCACGTTCTTCAACTTCACAGATGTCCGTTTTCTTATCCACTTTTCGCATGGCTGGCCTGGATTGAACTGGACACTATCCTTTGTGTCCGAGGAGCTTACATACGGAATGCCTTCAAATTTGCCAATCTGCAATGAAATTCGTGGTAACCTTCTTCTCTACTTCAATATTTGTATTTTATTGACGAACCTGTCTCAAAATAAAAGCTATGACATCGGCACTTTCCCAATAGCTTGCGTGGAACAAATGCGGTAAGGCATTGGCCGGAAAATTACTCAATCCTTCGGGGCAGTAGAGAGCATAGTCTAGGCGTTTGGTACCCCACCATTTCATTTGAACTGAAAAGAGTAGAAGATGGCAATTTGTTGAATAAACTCGATATCACGCACTCACGATCATCGGATTCGAATTTTCTATTCTAACTCAATATAAGCAGTGGTTTTCGTAGCATTTTAATTACTGGAATGGAGCAACTTACTTGTATTTATGGTACTTAGCGATATATTTTCTATTAAACCCGATACTGTACTTTGCATGGACGCATCCGAGAGGCGGCGACCACCCAACAAATTGTGACCTTCGCTGAAATGATGGGGATGAGATTGTATAACCTCCACTAAAATGCAAGAAATGCAAATTATCCACTATATAATTATAATCGTACACTTTGCTTGGTGAAGCTCACATAAATGCAGGGGTTGTCCATTTCCCAGAGGATATTTGGCATATCGGGGTACATTGACTGGAGCCAACATTGAAAATCTTGCACTAAGCAAAGGTTCCAGGCGGGAAGCTGTCGGATCGGTTGGATGAAACAGATTGTAAACTTGATGGCAATTCGGGCGTTGGAGTGCTGAAAACATGACACACGAAACAAATATAATTCAATTCAATTTAAAATACGAATTAGTGGCGACATACCTGTTTTAGAATCGTGTAGTTTTTTAGCTGCCAAGACAATGGACAATGGCGATCCGAACATGAAGAAGTCACTAACCTCAAACTCTAACTTTGCGTTTTTAGAATCGCTGGAAGACGACGAACGTCTGCGACGTGGTGATGGTGCAACCAGTAGTCGTTTCGCATCCATATCACTGTCATCGAAACGCTCATCGTCATCGGTAGTACGTGAGGAACGACTGCCTCCATCATTGGATGAACCACGACACAGAGCTTCGTATGCCAACAGCGATCCCATTGAATCGCCTAGCATAACAACTTGACCAGAAAAGCCATGACCTTCTTCAGACTTTAGGAATTCTTGGTAGACAATGTTGGCAGCCGTCACCGTTTTATTGACCGTGTCTTGGAATTCGGGCGATGTAACAGAGAGCAATGGGATGGCTCCTATAGGAACATCAGCTATATTTGGTATGTCTGCAGAAGGTGAGGCATCAAACGAGTATGGACTGAGGCTGGAGAGTATGCCCAAAGCATCTGTACAAATGGATGGACAAGGAACCATTTTAATGGTAACATGACTTAATAGGCTCGGATAATGTTGGCGCATGACTGATTCGAAAGCTCCGCGGAAAGTGGTTACATCTGATTTTTTGGAAGTCAATTCACTGGTGGCATCTAAAATAGCAGAGAATAATTAACGGAATTCTTTCTCAGTGCCAGTATTTATGGCATGGCATGGCAAATCATACCCAGAACACTGCCTGCATGTACAACCATAATGAGTATGGTGGTGGAGCATGAAGGGGTCCCTGGAGAGCCAGGCGGCGATCCATCATGTCCACCTCTTTCTAGACTAGCCGATGATCTCAATTGCCGTTTATTTCCTCTTTCGGAAGCAACTCGCATGAGGAAGTCTTGGTTAAAAATACTGTCGTCTTTGTTATTTTTGCCCGGTATTCCACTATGTGGGGGCGGACTATCGTCCGTTTCGCCTAAGATTTCCAAAGAACTCCATTTGGCCAGGGAGTTGGTTTCGTTTGTATCTACAAATATATACAGACATGTGGAGAGCTTAATTATTTAACTGCGCTTATTGTACTTACCAACGCAGTCAAAGAACTCTTCATCCGAATTCGATTTAGAGTCAACCTCTAGCCGTTCCATACGCCAATTTGCCACCTGTTGAAGAAAATTGTAAAAATTAGAAAATTCCTGTAAATGTCTACCATATCATCGTATCGTTCGACATCGAATAAACTTACATTTTTATGTTTAGCATTTTTGGCATGCGGCTTATAGAATTCAAGAGAAATAGTATTTTCAAAAAGGATAACATTTAAATGAAAGGAAGAAGAAAAGCAAATGGTTACACAATAGATAAACATTTAAGACAGCATTCACAGAGAAGCAGATGCTGTAAGGCATTAACCTTTGAAATCTTAAATAACGTTAAGGCTTGATATGAATCCTGAAAAGCATCTTGCAAGCGCATGCTCTACTTATTTTATTAATAAATGGGATGTATGTATATTATATATATAGAGTACTTAATGATCAGTTTCTATATACATAAAAAACGAAACGAATGGAATCAGTTGTTCGACCTGAATACAAAACAAAATTCCAAATTTCGTTCGTGTGGATCATGGGGGTTTTGTCTTTCAGAACATTTCCTTATTTGCCGAGGAAAAATAATGCCGGCAATTTATAAGTAAATTCATTCATTGATCTATAAAATTACAGATGTTGAAACTAATGTTGACAAAGTTTGGAACTGAGAACATTTAATAAATACCATGCAAATTAGACATTTTTGTAATATATGTATCTTGTAACCTACCTGTAACTCAAAACTTTGAGCAGATCCTAGTGGTGAATGTAGGCCACCCGGCTTTGAACCATATTTTGATTTTGCTGCCATCTGGATACTTTGTGAGCGAGATCTTTCACTGGAGTTATTTTGTTCTTGTTGACCTTCATCATCAGACGATACCTCTTCACTGGGGGGTTGCTGTGTTACCAAAGGAGGTTCCTTATTTTGGCGTTCTTCACTCGGCGGAGGTTCAATTGGTTTCGGAGGTTGTGTTTCGGAAATGCTTTCTGTTTGTGAAATAACAGAAAAGAAAAAATCATTTTTGAATTTTGTATTTCAAAAACCAAATAAACATACCTTCTTCTTCCTCCTCCTCTTCTTCTTCTTCGCCACTGATATCACCACCACCCATTTTCCTGGCCAGGGCTAATTGGGTTTGACGCTCAATTTCTCTAATATCCTCAATCGTCAGACCATGCCATTCATCCTGCCAAGCCCACGCTTGGCGATGAGCTCGGACCATTGTTTTTCGCAACGCCACATCATGAATGAATTTTTCCAATTTCGTTTGCATTCCCCAGTAGCGAAACTCTACTCGACATATTTTATACGCGCACATCAATGACATATTTCTGGCAGTCGGCTGTTTTTTGCCTTTAACTTCACGCCAGTATTCCTCCAGCCAGTCATCGTTCAGAGGTCCCCTTCCGGTCTTTTCCGAAACAAATAATTTGGGATCTTCTTCCTTGACATAATCTCCCCCGGTGAGTTGATCCTTTACAATGTCAATTGTGTCTACAAAAATCGAATGTTACAGAAATTCCAGCTGTGAATTAACACCGAAGAAGAACATACCGATAACACGATTTCTCAATTCGCTACTAGTCAGCTTGAAAACATTCTCCTGATAACCGTTGTCGGGAAAATAATATGTCTCAATATCGAGCATGAACTTTTCCACAAATGGGCAAGTGTAGCGGGTACGAGTATAAGGATAGGCATTCCATGCCTCCTCTTCAACAGTTAAAGCGCTTTTGGGAAGTAAACCTAACATTGAAATAAATGTATTGATTGTAAAACAGAAATCGAATTTAAAAATTTTATTTAAGGGACGATTGGCGGTCACGATAACATAAAAAATATTAATCCAATCGGTTCCACATTTTAACATTTTATTCTGGACCGACATAGTTATCGTCTGTACTAGAATAATTGCAATCGAAGAAGATCTTTCATATTTTCCATTTTGTTTTTGTTCGAAAATAGGCCATTTCAATAATCATAGTTCATACAGGGCCAGATATGTAGTCTTTCTAATTGTGTTAGAATTTTGACATTCGGATGTTCCAGTGATTTACAATCATGTCCGCCATTGAAAAGGGGGATAGTCTATTCCACTTACTTTTTATCCAGCCTGGTAAATGACTGCCAACATGATAGATTTTCTTAGTATATTGACCCTTTCCACCAGGTCCATCATCATACGGTTCATTGATAATAATTTCCACGCCGCTACCTTCGCCATGACTCTCTTCTCGACTTTTTTTCTGCAAATGTAAAATGTCTTTTTTTTAAATACCCATGGGTTTTTTTAATTCTCACTTACCGCTATCATATACAACTGGGCTATGCGGTATTCATCCACAGTCAGTGGCAAGGGTATGTGATATTCCTTAATTAACATCTTGAATATTTTTCTCTATACAGCTCACGATATATATATGTATGTCTGTATATATTTTTGTTTTTAACTTAGAAACTATTGGACTAGCATTTTGTTCGGAGGAACCTTTCTCAAATAATATCGAGATTTCTGAAAATAAAATTGTAAAATAGAAATATAAGAAATAATAAGTACAACCATCATCTTTATAGGACATTAAAAGAAAATTAATCAGTTTAGTTTTATAGTTATATAAAATCGTCTCACTTTTGTAAAATTCGATTTTTATGAAATTTTATAATTCAATATTTTATATAACATTTGTTTATTTTGACTTTGGTTTCTTCTGATTCAAATTCCAACACCAAATGGAGAACGTACACACACAACTGTTTTTTTTAATCCAAAATAAATCTCATTACATATTGATGATTACACAAATACGAATTTAACGGACCTTCAGCTCTGTACTCAAATAAATTGGTAACGTAAAATTTCAAATTGTTTACCAATCAACGTTCTATTGAGATTTAACAGAAATTTTTTCCATTTGTTGCATGTTATGCAAATTATTTTCCAAATGACACGGCGCCTTTGGTTCTTCCTGTTGTTATTCCAAGTGTTCTGGTCGATATTCATGCACTTGAACGAAGGAATGTGACAATCGCGGGCTACTCGCACTCGTAACAGCTATAATAATTCTATTTAGGTTTGTTATTTTCCAGTAAAAATGGGAAGAAGAAATGCAGAAAATAAAAAACAAAATCAGCGGTTGGTAAAGATGACCTCATATCCGCTGTGAACTGTGCATTTGAATGGCTTCCATGAAAACATTTATACGCTATGCTGTGCCTTCGGGGTTCGGGGTTCAAGTTAAGGGCGCATTCATCTGTTGAATATGCGCCGAGGTGCCAATGTATGACAAATAATTTCCCTGTGATCGGAGAAATGTTGCCATATCCTGGATGATTACCATAAAAATATCATTTATATTTTCTTTTTGGTGTCGTATAATTGTATATGTATGGACTTTAGGTCTATTATGAATTACTATATATTTGTTCTACTCTAATTGGAAGACCTTATGAAAAATGATGAGAATCAAATGTTTGGCCTGTATTTTTAAAACAGCTGATGCTACTTGAATTCTTTTTCCCATTAAGAATTCCTAAACACTCAGTAACATAACTGTCCAATTTGTGTGAGATACATTTTTATCTCGTCGTTGTTATTCGCAGGATTCTACTGAAAGTCGTGTGGTTGCATGCTCTCCCACTGCGCTTCCTTTCTGGACATTGGAATTAACAAATAACATCCAGATGTCTTTCACTGTGTAATATTTCGTGGTATTTGGGTCATAATTATAGCTTATAAAATGATATATATGATCCCAAGTATTAACCGATCAATAATAGATCTCTTTTTTGGCCTGAACCGGCCGTTACAGTAACTGATGTACTTTGTTTAAAACTTATAATGGACAGACGGACAACATTTACCAAAATATATGGTTGTTTTACAACCTTTGGACACACAAGCTTATAATACCTGGTATATAATGATGGAAAACAACCATAAACTGACTGCACTACAATTTGCAAAATCGAAATCGAAACCACTTTATGAATTTTAAAATTGTGTGTTGTATTCAATATATGAAGTGGTCGAAATTCAATAGAAATCTGCGAGTTGAAAATTTTAAAAATATATCCCTGCTTGGTATGTTTATAAAAAAACGGGACATATGTTTCGCCGCATTTATTTTTAAAGCATGGCCCCATTTGCGGAACCGGATTTTATGGCAACCCTATAACAACTCATGCAGTTAGCAATTCCTGCTGTTGTACAGGAAATTGTTGCTTGATTCTGTTACTGACTACTATTGTCATTCTTCTTCTTCTCGTTGTCGCTGGTCGTGCTAATGTCGCCCGAACCATAAAGACGATGACTTTGTTTAACAATTACTTAATACCAATTCTACTGAGGCATGTAATTGATTTAATGGGTACTACAGCTGCTGCTGCAGCCATCGCGTCGCATTTTCTCCTATGGTGCAGTTGGCAGTAGGAGCTCGAACCACACACTCGCACACACACCCACTCACACATAACTATAAAGACAAGAGTGCATGGATAAATAGCGAACCAGCATATCTAGGAATGGCATTTAGAATTTGATCTACTATTTTGTACGCCACCCCTGCTGTTCTTCTCCTTGCCATATTGGCGGAAGATAAAATCAATAGAAATATGAAGGTATAAACATTCAGTTGTATGGAAACACGAGGTGGAGGATGGTGGTGGTGGTCGTCGTGCATTTCATCAGCTATTGTACTATTTTCGTAATTAAAAGTGGTGGAAAAAGTAATAACAACAAAAACACAATGGTGCCTCGGAACATAAAAAAGGTTATGGAAATAAAATATAGGTTTTTTTTGAAATTTAATAATGCGTTTTTTTCTAGCGGTCTAAAATATGTATATGAGCGGAGCATTATAGTTGGACGGGGACGACAATATGTTACCCTACACACCTGCCACCGAACTCTATCTCATTGAGACAATTTTATAGTGTGAATGGGAAGACATCGCCTTGATAGGAAGTAAAGTCTCCTGACGCTAGACGTGAACTTAAAATTTTTGAAGAGTACACAAAAAAAAAAACGGTTTTAACGGATAAAACTATATATATATATATGTATAAGTGTTCTGACAAGGTATCTAAAAATGTCAATGAATGTTTCCTTTGCTATGTGGGATTAAAAGGATTAAAGGAAAATAATTTACGAACGCCATAATAAACACAGTAATCAGTTTGGGTTTAGATCCAACATTTTTGAGAGGACAACGATGTGAAGGCGCATTTAGCATCTCAGGCAATTATAATGGAGTTCAGACCATTATATAATTGAAATTCATTTCTGCGGTATATATTCATTGTTCTTTTCACATTTTAAAATTAAGTTTAAATGCAGTTTGGAAAATTCGAGAAATTCGAGGTATATTTTCTACAATTTTGGACATTTGCTATTTTTTTAGAAAATCCAAAAAGGTCTGCTAATTTATGTAAAAGGCAAATAAATCTTTCAAACGACAACATTCATTTTGTGGTGAATTTAACGAATCTATAGAAGATATAGTAGAATCGTTGGAAGAAATAGGGGACACGGATTTAACTCAAAGAAACATGGATTTTAAAGACAATACTCCAATAAGACACATTTAGATTGTGATGTGTTTCTCTTTAAAAAATTATTCTTTGGTTTATTGACAATATAACGACTAAATTAGTGACATCATTACCATCATTACATTTCACGATAAACAATCGATAATAACACCAAAAAGTCCTCATGCCATATTTGTTGAACCTTATGTCTAAAGGACAGTTCTGAGACCATCCAATAGCAAGCACAGTGTCATTGTGCTGATTTGGAATGACATCATAAATGAAAAACTAGAAGCAAAATGAATGACACTTGCCCCCGCTTCTAATTTCTTTGTAGTTGACTATTGATGGAATCTAGGAAGGACATAAAATATGCAGTCAATATTTGTGCATGTGTGTGTGTGTGTTTGAACATCAACCTAGTTTTTGTACACCGATCCATTACATTCATGAGTATATACAGCTGTTGTAGTTATGCCTGCAATGATATTCAATAATTATGTGACACATACAATTGTCTAAGAATGCCATTATACATTAGAAAATCGATTTAGATGACAACATGTACTGTTCCTAGCCATGGGTCATGCGATTTTTAAAAAAAGGGTACACAATATGAATCACTGTTGAATCATATTGACCTGTATTCAATTCTACGAACATGTGTGTGGCATAGATTTGCATCATAAGTTTAGTGACAAATTTAATATGTCCTCCAGTGTATATTTAAATTGTCTTTTTCTTGGCAATACACTCTTAATCGGAAAAAAGTATACTCCTAGGAAATTGAAAAATATCCGTTGGAATATGATGAACGATGTAAATTATTTGCTTATTAAAATACAATGTTGCGGAATTTGCTTACCAAATATGTAAATATGATATATATAATTTATATGTAATATTTCTAAACAAAGCATTGTTTAGGACCAATATATCGATAAATAAAATTGCGCACATAAATAAAGTTCAGATAGATGTGATGGATTTTATTCGACTGTACTCAACTTTAAATCTGATTAATGCATTTTTCACATTCAAAGTTGACCGTTGTGTTGATGTGGAATTGAAGCTTTGATTGTTGTTGTTGCCTGTTCTACCTGTATTGTTTTCTAGAAATGTACTTTGAGCTCCATAAAAATGGCACAAAAGTCTGTCTCTCTCCTTCATTGTGTGTTGTAAATGAATTTGCGTCATATTTTCAACAAATACCTCAAGTATTTTTGAAAATATATATATTTGAGATGCTCAGTGCACACATCGATTAACTCCCTAAAACAAAAAGTTGAGAAAAACGTTGATAAAGTGTATGTGGTTTTCAAAATTCCAGATGAATTGATTTTCCTGATCTAGTCTTGATTATTTAGGAAAGATTTATTTAATACATTTAAACGGTTATGTCTACAACAAGGCTTTTGAAACTTTAATTTAAGATTTTTTTCGAAAAGTGGAGTTAATCAAAGTGTGCACTAAACGCCTCATTTAGTAGTCTAGGAAACTTATACATATGTATACATGTACATTCTTCAGTTCGGAGATGTTATTTGAGAGTGTTATAGTATGAGTATGTTACCTTCATTGAGTGTATTCCAACTCGAACTCTTTGAACAGCACAATCACAATAAAATTACGTTAATATTTACACTGTAATTTTTACAGAGACAAAGCTGATACAATATTTTGTCAAATGTATTGTTAGTATGTGTATTTTTTATTGCGAGCAATGTAAAAAGGTACTGATTATGAATTTATTTAAAATGAATTTCTAATTTAATGATGACGTTACTACATTATAGCATCCGATGGAATGTAATTTTCACGATGGTTTAGTACTATTTGGGCCTTCGATACAATGTTCGAAACCAAAAAGGTACA